AGAATATACTGCAGTGTGGCATTAAACATATATGGTTTGCACTTATGTTATTAAACATACATTTGTATTATGAGAGGGGTTGCCTTTACACAGATCCCACCTGTAAGTTGTAACCAGTCACCTGTATTCTTTTCAAGACTACAAAGTGAGCAAGAATCTGTGTTTCAGAATGATGAAAAATTATAATTACCATAGAGATTTACAAAATGATCTTTTGTGAATGGAAAAATGGTTGAATAAAGATTTAATGCACTGCACAAATTACTACACCGCATACAACCAGTACAGCTAATACTGGTCCAAGGAAATAAGGAAATAAGATATGTTTAATGCCATACTGTGGAATATCCTGAGCAAAGCAACTGGGAGCAGCTGGCGGACCTTTCTACAAAAACGTTTCATATTGCATCTTTAATTCCAGGACAGAGCACAGTCTCTCAGATGGTTCTCACCAGTGGACTTGTCTAACACTGAGCCATATACTACACTATGAATAACAAAGGCTATGGCTTTTAGTAAACAGCTATAACTCACAGGGAGAGTGTTTAGTGTCCTGGTATGCGGACATGGCCAGAGTAAACATCATCTGTTATTTACTACCGACAGCACGGCCTGGCTCCTAATGCAAAGCGCTGGTGTGGCGTAAGCTTTTACGCACATTACAATATGCGTGTGTGTACAATACGATATAAAGTAATGCAGTAACGTGCGCTTGATGTGGACGAAATTAAACAGCCCTTTTAAGCACGATATACTGGGCCATTTTTTAACATAGGCCTATTACGCTTTTTCTGGGGATGCAAGGATCCAGCTTTTACAGTTCCGATACAATATTGTTCTTTGACTGTAAGTAGCCCTCTGCCAATACTACAGATCTACCAATACCTATACAGGAATGGAAAACTGCACTTATTTCTTTAAAACACGGGTAACTTATTATGTAAGAGATCCAATTGTTATGCAGTTATTATTTATCCTTGAGTTGACTACCGACTTTTCTAATTTTTCAGTAATATTAACAGTGCACCCCTACTTTTTGGGGGTATTTTTACATATTAAACTATAATATTATATAGCTGTAACTATAACATTCTGTAGCTGTAACGGAACGTGTTCCTCTGGCCAGAGAGCACGCGGTAGAGCAGCCGGTAGAGCGCACAGCGCACTCCTTGTTCTTGCAGAGCTTCGTAAACTGCTCCCCTGCAGGCCTGCACATGTGACCCGCGGTCCTGACCCCTACAAAACATGTCCTGTGTTCCTAGTAGTGCATTCAAGGGTGAACATTCGGCGTCTCCGCGCCTACACGTGCCATCGTCACGCTGCTCTCTGCTTCACGGGCCAAAGTCGATCCATGGGCCAAACCAGAGCACTTTGTTTATTGTCAACCTCTAAAAAGCCTTAAAAGCTGACAAGTAACAGGGCAGTGGGCCAGGGGGTATGTGAAAATGACAACGATCTAAGCATTCAAGCCACAAATGCAGAGCACAACAGGATCTTTCAATCATGTATAACCCAAAATGCAACTTTACTAATGATGATGAGGGAGCACTATTTTAACACTTCTAACAAGCTCATAAAAGTCCTTTTTACACAGTTTGCCCACTTCAATGGTGCGTTGGTAAAAGCGCATCAGCCAGATTCAGCTGCAGTGACATGTTCACTTTCCACTTGGACCTGAGTGTGAACTGGTTGCCCTGCTTTCTGTCCATGGGCCTTTTGGAAATCTCGTGTTCAGTGTATGTCATCCGGGTAGGAACATTGGCAACACAGAATGGCATTCGTATTCCAAAATTGCGTTGAATTGATCATGAATTTTAAATAGTTCAGTTCAGACTTGGTTTTGTTCCTCTGTTCTGCGTAAGGCTTTAAGCTTTTTGGAGAGGTTGTGATGTAAAGTCTTTTTGGTGCGTGTCGGATTTGCAGCGTCCAGGAGGGAAAAACTGTGAGCAGAAAGGTAATTATGTTGCAAAGTACGACCAGTTCAAAATATCAATTGAGTGATTTTAGCCTGGCACTCTCTAATTAGCGCTGATTGCTCGTCTCTGCAGAGGCTGGAGCCGCTGGAGTGAGAGGCTGAGTGCTGCTGCCCCCATGTGGCGACAGAGAGGAACGGCACCTTATGCAACATTTCTACTTCTCCATTTGTGGAAAGGTTAGACAATAGGCTTCAGTGCATTTTAATTGGCAACTAATTGGATGAGATTATGATTATTTTATGGATACTAAGGAGCATTTAAAGTAGAACATAGTTTGGCCTGCATTGATTGTTTTGAAGGGTAAATGCAAATGCGTCTTCAATTGTTATTTTTGTCTAAAACACCACTTTTTTAATCAGTTTACATAATAGGGATTGTTCTGACAACTCTATTTTCCTAATCAAAACCACTCAGTGAATAAGTAACCTACTGCAACACTTTGGGTATTTAAAAGGAAGGACCCGAAGAACACCAATTATCTTCTAATACCTCTGTAATCTTCTGTACTTAATTTTTCACTTAGTAAGATTCAGATGTTTGTTTCATTAGAGCCCCACCATGTAATGTGTTTTAGCTAAAAAAATTTTTTTTTTTTTTTCATTTTGGATGTTTTATTGAACAGAAAAACATGGATACTTTCTGTGAGCAGGCTTGCATCTCCACAAACCTGATTCCCCTTGGGGAGGAACTTGGAAATGTTGTTTCTTTGGCTGTAATACACCGCATTTTACTGAAGGAGTATGGAATTTTAAAACACAGTGGAGCATTTCCTGTATTCCCATGACATGATGTGTGTGTATGAAACAAATCAAAAGTTCAGATATGTTTTGATGAGGAAACATTATAACATAGATAAGAAAATACTGTAATATGGTTGTTATGGTTGCCTTGTTCACATATGGCTCAGATTATACCACCTAGTGCACATAATTTGGTAAAAAACTATTCCATAAATTTTCTGGATGGAGCAAACAGACCAAAACCACAGCCCTAACCACAAAGATTATCACTAATTAGTCCCTGCGTCTTTACAGTCACTGCCCTGTTTTTCACTAACAATTTCTGGGTGGTAATGTTATTAAATTGCAATTCCCTGATTCAACATAACATTTGGAAACTACATTATATTGGAGTTTTGATTTTCTATGTTTATGATTATGGCTGAAGGCGACAATATTACGGAGTTCTTGCTTTGTCAGTTAAAGCTGAATTGAGCAGTCGGGGTGACCACAAAATGTAAGTGAACCAAACGTTAATGTGCAGGTTAGCAGAGACGATTTCTAGCCAAGGAGAATCCAAGCCAACTGCAGCACTTATGGTTAGAAATAATAAAAGGGGTGTGAAGCCAAGCAAGTGTGAGCTAATTTATTTGGCTAACTGCACCCAGCTGCTGAAATACTTAAAGGGCCTATATTATACTATTTTCTGATCTATGTTATAATGTTCTTTTCCTCATCAAAAACATATCTGGAGTTGTGTTTTGTTTCAATCACGCATGTTTGACACACACATCCTGCATATTTAGTTTGAGTTCTTATCTCAAACAGAAAACACTGTTCCACCGTGTGATGTCATGTGGTAATACAGGAAGTGCTCCACTGTGTTGCATACACCTTCACTAGAATAATTTGGATAATTTCAACCCTGGATTTGACATTCTCTACTGAACTAAAGGTAAAAGGCTGCGAAACTTGAAATCTGCTTCATGACATCATAAGGTGGAACAGAGCATTTTGAGCTTTGGAGATGTGGACAGACTAATAATGCTCAAACATGCGTGAATGAAACAAAACACATCTCTAGGTATGTTTTTGAGGAGGTAACATTATAACATACCTTAAAGCTCACAAGAGTCAGTTGTGTAATATAGGACCTTTAAATTGCATTGCATAGATAGGCTTATTCATATTGGCTGTAAACCAATTCACCAGGCTATAAGCAAAAGACTTCTCAGCCATGAAGCCAATTAGAACAACACAAGTGAGTGCCTAATATTACCAGTGATAATGGCTTGTAATTGGCTTGCATTAAAAAGTGTATTATAGCTAACATCCATCTGTACTCAATTCCCCAGAGGATGATTTGCTTTTAAATGTCATTTGCAAACAGCCAAGGCAGCAGCAGTCACACAAAACTCTAGGTATCCCAAGTGGATTGTTGTATCTGCAGTTAGGGACCCACCTGAACAGCTTTAGGATAGAAGGAATAAAGATGGAGATTGTTCCCAAGAGAAACTACAGACATTGAGAAGGCTCTTGAAAATATAACAGCATATGGCGTTGAGAGCATGATGGCAGAGTGGCAGAGTTAGCATTTATGTAATACATTAATAGATGATGAACCCAATTCAGTCTGAGAAGATGAATTAGAATTTTGTTTACCAATTGTGAAACCATGGCATCTACTGTATTCTACACAACTTAATTATATCACCTCCTGTGGATCTATGAAGACTTGCTCTGTAATAGAGTGATGAGGTGCTGTGTTTGTATGGATTGCATCATGGTCATGGTGCTTGCCCGAATAGCTTCCGCTCTCACCTCAAGGCAAGAAGGTCCCTGGTTCAATTCCCAAAGCAGATGGGGCATTCTGTGCGGCGATTGCATGCTCTCCCGTGTCTACAAAGGTGTCCTTCCATTGGGCATTCTGGTTCCGAGACCTCCAGCTAGGTAAGCCTAACCATGATCCTGGCTTTTCTGCCAATAAAATTCACAGCCAGCGTAGTTACAGGTAAGACAGACAAATGATGGAGCATTTATTTCATGTTTTAGCAGACAAGGGGCCATTGTGTTAACTGTAATTACTCTCGTGCATGTATCTTGGCTATGCAGTGCTGTTTACGGGTCTCTGAGCCAACTCTTTACTCCATTGGAGTGAAAGTTGTGTGAGGTAGTTAAAAGAGCCCTTTCATAAAATAAACAATACATTTGCAGGAAACCTTAGACTGGAGACTCCTGTGGGGCGGTCAGAATGTGGTGATTATTAAGTATTATTAACAGAGCCAACCAAAAATAACAAACAGTCTTATAGGTACTTAAAAAGTGCATTTATTTATTTGGTTCTTTAGGCACCTCTGTTAACATCTTTGGTCACACAGTTAACAGGAAACAAAAACAAGCATCACAATTACTGCAGCAGCTCAAAGAGTAATGTTTGTCAAATTTACTGCCCAGCAGAAATTTCAAAATATTATAGGATATAGTTTTGACTATTAAAAGTCTCTCTAATGTGTTATGTCATTAGAGAATTGAGAATAAATAGTTGCTGAAATGAAAGACCCAAAGATTTGGTCGATTTGATGAAAATACTGCCACAGTTTAGGGATGCTCAGTTTGTTTCATTACATTGATAGCGGACACATAAATGGGTAAAATATATCACATAAGGACAGGAATATAAAAACATGCAAACAAGCGTCACTCGAGACTAGCACGAAAAGCTTTGGCAACATTTAGATGTCTTCATAAAAAGGAGTAGAAAATTGCTTAGTTTAACAGCCCTAGGCATAGTCAGTATAATGGATCCTTTCAAACATGCAGAAAGTTTTAAATGCCTTAACAACTTTATAAAAGGACAGACATTAAAAGTTGTACATAAAAACATTTTCAGACATCTTGTTTCAAGTTAAGGTTAGCCTGATGACAGCATCCATCCCCACTTTCTGCTTTTCTCTTTGGCTTGTCCCAACATGCTCCGACATAACTTCTGTGGCCTTCATCACTATCACTGCACTTTACCAGACGTCCCACTTCATTAACACTCATAATCTGATCTGGCTGATCGCTTTGGCACAGGTACCGGGACAGAATCCGTATTTAACACATTTAATGGTCTTCATAAAATAAATGAATCTGTTAAAGTAGTCTTTACACGCATGTTAAAAGAGTTCTTCCAGCTCCATACATGAGTGCTAGTGCTTCTTCTCGAGGTAATTTGAGGGGACCCATCCTTTCCTTGGTCGGCCATTGTCCAGAACTTTGCAGTACCACCAACCGTTCGGATTCCGTTCCAGAACTTCCAAAGATGTGCCCTCGGGAAAACCCATGGTTTCCTCGTCGCCATGGTAATCCGCAATAGACACATACACATCCCTTAGATTGTTGTGGATGATGTGCGGTTTAGGTTTAACGGTAGAAATGGGCACAGCGTTCTTCTGAGAGCTGTGGCTCAGAGATTCAGAGCTCCCATTTCCTGACCTGTATCTGCTCGGAAGTGTGATATTATTTGGGGTGAGATTCCGAGGAACAGTGCCGAATGAAGCATTCCGACGAACTGTGGGGCTGACACGAGGGTGGTCTGTAGAATTCAAGGACTCATTTCTTCTTAGGGAGCTGACAGGGCTGGGGCCATCCATGATGGGGGCGGATATGAAAACAGACTGAGGCCTGACCACCTGCTGCTGCTTGGTGCTGTTTTGTTTTTTGGATGCGCCAAACAAGCCTAAAGGTTTGGTGAAGCCACCTGGAGGTTTAGATGGAATAGGTGGAGTGACTTTCTTTAAGTTTTGGTTGATGTTGTTCAAAGCTTGGACTCTTTGCTCATTCTTCTCTAGACTGTTGGACTTGCTGAGACTTTTTGTGGGAGAGCCATCTGATTCTGATCCCACCATTTCGTCTTGTTGTCTGACTGGTTCCAGGTAGTAGGTGGGAGCCCAACCTTCATTGTCGCCCCAACGGATGTACCACCAACCACTCTCCTGCTTTTCCAACACTTCGACCTCCACTCCAGCAGGGAAGCTGAGCTCAGACTCTTGCACTTTTTCATAGGGGTCTGTTGTGCGATATTGCATGCACCCTTCCAGGTCAGAGTCACCCCGGCTTCCTTTGGAGTAGTTAGAGGAAAGATCAGACGTACTTTGAGAGGAGAAGGAATCCTCAGATGAAACCACAGAAGCAGTCTCAGAATCTTCACCTTTGGATGTTTTGTTGCCATTTTTGAGTTGCCCTGTTGGACGCAGCTGTCTTCTCAAAGTACTGATATCCATTTTCTCAGCACTCTGGGATTTGGCCATATGAGGTTTAGGCCTCACCACTGGTTTGAGTTTGGCAGACGCCTTAGTCGAAGGGGACTCCTTGTTTTCATCTTTATCTTTCTTTGGCGTGGACTCTGTTGAAGCTGATTTTGGGCTGGGCATATCTTCAGATTTGGCAAAGGAGCTCCCATTTAAATCGATTTTGAGTTTGCTGCCCGCAGGTCTCCATCCTCCTGGTGAAAGGTTAGAAGCGGTCTTGCCAGAATCAGACAAAACACTTGTCTTGGAGGAATTCGATTCCCGACTGCACTGGCGTTCTGGGGTCTCTCTGAAGGGCCAAAAACCATCATTCTCATAGATACACTCTTTCTCCGCTTCGGTCTCTTGGCTATCTTCAAACGACTCTCCCATTTTGAAGGAGGCACTGTGAAGAGAAGATGCTGGGGAGGGCTTGGACGAAAGTTGAGATCCTCTTTCAGAAGAAGTGTCCTCCAATTTTGTATCCACGAGAGATCCTTCTCCTCTCAGAAACTCAAACTCCGACTCAAGATCTAAATCGCCAATAGCAGGGACATCGTATTCTGGTTCCTCATAGACAGGTCTGCTTGGAGATACAGGGGACTCTGGAGCTTCAGACCCAGGACTGCTCGGGGGTGCAGTCTCCACTGAATCTTGCTTTTTGACAGGGGGAGCAGGGGGAGGAACTTTGGGGCGACACAGGGTGCTTGTTCTGCGGTTCAGATTGGGCTTTTTGCGTTTGTCAATGTACGAACATGGGGCCCACCCTTCTTTTTCTCCAATCTGGACATACCACCAGCCCCCAGAATTCTTTTCAATCACCTAAAAAACAATCTAAAGTTAGTGACAACTCATAAAATAAAATTTAAAAAATCAACCAGGTGAAGGCTTACATCTGCTTTCTGTCCTCCATTGAAACTGATGCCATCTGATATACAAGACTGGAAATCTGCAATGGTGTAGTACTCAGCTTCAACTGTAGGGGCCTCTGGTGGGGAGGGCAGCTGGAAACCCTAAATATAAAAAGTAAGGGGTAATTATAACCAGAAAAAGTATCTTGTTTTACTGATCTTGGTTAAAAACATTTAAGCTATTTTTTGAACTTACCAATGTGGCGTCTCTTCGTGGGGGAGGTTTTTGCCTGAGAACTGGAGACCCTGTAAAACATAAAATGTTAGATCTTGAGTTGTTTGTTTGTCAAAAACTTATGGTTTTACTAAAAGAAAGTAGAACATTACAACATGATGATGTATTTATTATTTGCCAAGTTAGTTTGCTTACACAAGTGGAACAAACTGACACTTTTCAGACTGACACAACTCCAAAAAATGTAAAGCTACCATTTGTATTTTTTTTCATCTGTGGTCTTGGTCTTCTTCTGTCACACCAAAACTGTCAGACAGCAGAAACGTAAAAAGCATCTATTGGTGTTACATGAGAATACAACAGGGCTGGGTCTGCCAAGCTAATTAAACTAAATGGTAGCTTTAAATTGATTTGGACAAATATTGTACAAGCAGTAAGTAATGTCTTTTTGCAGCCTTAGTATTAACTATCTTAGAGACATGCCTGACATTACTTTAACTATATTTGAAGAGTTTAGTATTTATTATGAATTTATGATGGAACCTGACTTGGAGATTAATTATATATACTCTTATATATGCTATATACTGCTATAATACACACTCTCTTTAGTGTGTTCTACTTCTTTGCTCCTTGAGTTTTTGTAGGCTTTCAATTGATCTCTAATCCAATTCTTGATTCAATGGAACAGTTATTTAGTATTTAGTGAATAAGAGGGCCTAACCTATCTCCACCCGATGAGGAGCGATGCGAGCTACAGCAGGTGAGGCTGGCTCTGTTTTGTTCTTGGACTCTGACTGGCTGTTGCTGGGGCTGGACTCGGGACAGGGCATGGGGAGGCTGATCTCCTTCTTGGCCACCTGGGGGCTCTCTGGGACCCCTTCAGTCTGGATGTCCTTCTCACTGGAGGTCTTTTTGTTGAGCAGGTTGCTAATTTCCATGATGTTACCGATGATCTCCACTGGACCCGTAACTGGCTTCTTGCTGCGTGGACTGAAGTCATCTTTCACTTTCTTTAGGTAAGACGCTGGAGCCCAACCCTCTTTGTCCTGATATCTGTAAAAACAATGGCATAAGTTGCATTCAATATAACGATAAGTTTAGAATACAAATATTGTTTCAAATGGTGTGAAACTTACCTGATGAACCACCAGCCTTCGAGGTTTTTTTGAATGACTTCCACAATGACCCCTTTCTCAAAAGCAATTTCATCTTTGCCCTGACTGGAGTAGGCCTGCACCGTAACGTACTTCTCCTCTGTCAAAAGCACAACAACAAAAATCCCATTTAAGTTTTAGTACACCGCCAAGACATCTGGGCTGTAACTCTATAAAAGTCAGCAATGAAATATGACCATAAGATATAAAGAGAGAAATGGAAATCAAATTAACATGCAGAAATATGTTTAAAGTAATTATTTTGTTCCTTTTTGCTTTATTGTAATAATTTTATGTTATAACTAGTGTATGTGTAGTTCTTCTTCACTAGTGTATATAGCATGTCTGAGTTATTGTTCTTCCTGGCTGTGTATCCGCCAGCTGTAGCAGTAAAAGTGCTGTGTGTGTAAAGGGCTCCTTGGCGTACACTCTTGAATCAGTTTTACCAGTAAAATTTTATGAAACAAAATGCACTTTATAACCGAGTAGATACACGTAGTAAATATTCAGACTGAGATTAAAGTTGGATATGCAATAGCTATACGTGGGCTGTCGTAGATGTCTGCCAGTTAAAAAAGACAGCTGTGTTCTTATACTGTATTATATGTAGAGCACATACAGTATGTGTGTGTAGTACTGGGTACAGACACAAGTGAAATTGGGAACAGCTGGAAGGGTTGGTCATGTATCACGTTTGAAGTTGTAATTTTATACCAAGTTGAAAAAAGTTAATCCAAAGTCATTTATTCAGTCAAGTTTGTACCTTGGCTCAAATTTAAAGTATTACTGCTACTACTGCTAGTAGGTATGTAACAATAACGGAAATAACATGGTGTTGTATCATCAAAGTTCTCACAGGAATATCGTGGACCATCACAATATACTGAATTACAAGTTTCTTTACTTAAATGAACAGTTATGGTACAGCAATAGCTAAAAAAAACAGAGGGAACTACATAGACCATGATCCTTTGTTCCATTTCAATGTAGTCTACATGAAGAAATAACAGTTCTAAACACTCTAAGTGTAGGTTCTTTGTTCTTTCTAAGTCTTCATTCTTTGGATTAAGTCTTGACAAGGCATTTTAAGAGAAAAAATGGCATATTAACAATTTTGTTAGCCTCCACAAAATATTGCATTAAATGAGGTTCATACCGTGATGATATCGTATCATGGGACTTGGATATCTTTATACTGCTAACTGCTACTAATCCAAAAACTTGTCAACAAGGTAAATGCATTTCCAACATTATTGTCATTAAAAGTAGGTTAAACTACTATTACTTACTACTACTTAATATTACCTACCATATCTACCTACTACCACTTCCATTACTTCAACTTACTACCACTACTATCTACTACTAGTTCCTACTACTACCTACTACTATTTCTTACTACCGTTACTACTACTGCACCCAGCCCTTTTGCAAAGAATAACAAAAAAGTTGCATATAGATGTTTGATTTTTTTTGTTTTTTGCATTTCTGGTGATTTACATGATTATTATAAGTAAACCATTATGTAACTACAGTTATAAACTATAAGATTTCCTCTCCTTTATAACAATATATAGTAGCATTATGTTTTCTTCCTTGTCCTTTTTCCTCTGATGTGTTCATTATGACAGGACTGACGCTGTCCTTGGCCTGGTGACAGCTCGCATCCCCCCTAAACGCGCTGCATAATTGAGCTCCTGCTGATTTACACATTCCCACAAGGCCAAAGGGGCACGCAGAGACACCGCTTCCTGTCATTACTGCCCATTCCTGGGTAAACAGAGACAGCTCGCGGAGAAGAGGTGCGTTCAAAGCCCTGCCCAGAGGAGTCGAAAACGTGGCGCCTAGCCTCCAAAACCTCCCTCCCAGCTCGGTCAAGAAAAAGTCCATTTGTCTTGGAGCTAAGTAGTGTGTGTGGGCTGGCATTTCCCTTATACCAGCAAAACTCCAGTCTGCTACATGGGCATAGAATATTTTGGTGCACTTTATTTTTATTTTTTCTGAATCTTCCGGAGTATTTTTTTTTTGTTCCGGCTGGTAGAACGCTTTTCCTCCAACCAGCCACTTTCAAACAATCTCCAGTGGTGCAGTGAAGGGAAACTTTGAATCAGATGCTATGTTAACCACAACATGCATCGCCTGCATCAGAGTTATAAAGGATTTCTGTGCAGTCAGCAAAACATCACTCATATTTTTTTTTCTTCTTCTCTTTTTTTTCTAGCACAAGGCTGTGTTTCAGGCCCAGGGTGGAAACAGCCCCAGTCCAGAGAGGTTTTCTAGGAACGCCTGCCAAGCAAAAAGTCTGGGTTGAACTCAATAGCCTATCCGAGCTCCTCCTGTCAAATGTCCAAGCAGAGTCTTATGTGACGAAGGGCCTTGGACTTGATAAGAACATCTGTGAGACCAAATGACTGTAATTATCCTGCTGAGAATAACAAGATTGTTTGAGGATTGTTTCATTTCGTGCAGCAAGCCAAAATGTTGTTGTTCAATAGATAGTACATTTACTCAAGTCATTTTTGAAAGGCCCATATTACATTATTGCTGATCTATGTTATGTTTTCTCATCAAAAACACCTGAAACCTGAAGTTGTGTTTTGCTTCATTTATTTCACACATGTTTAACACACATACCCTTCTCTCAAATAGAAAACACTCTGTTCCACCTTGTGATGTCATAGTAATATAGGAAGTGCTCCATTGTACTTTTAAATTGCATACACCTTCACGAGAATCATTTGAACTGAAAATTGCCAGTCTCTGTTGTACAAAAGCTAAAAATTAACTGTTAACTGGAAAACTACAGCTTCATGACATCACAAGGAGGAACAGAGCATTTTGAGCTTTGGAGATGTAGACAGACTAATAATAAAGGATTACTCAAATATGAAACAAAACACAACTCCAGGTATGTTTTTGGGGAGGTAACAAAATCTTAACATGGCATAAAGCTCACAAGAGTCAGTTTTGCATAATATAGGACCTTAAATAAAATTGTATGTCTCAGAGTCGTTTTCTAACACTATACTTTTTACTCCTATTTGAGTGATATATTTTACAGTGTAACACTATTCATTTCCAAGTAAATGATTCGGTCACTCTTCTAGCTATGTGACTAAAGCTGATGTTAACATAATAAATGATTTCAACATTTGTTTCTTGTTGTACTCTTTCAAATATGATTTAGTTTTCTCATTTATTTGTGGTCTATCCTTTTCAAATAACAGATTTAAAAAAATGTTTTATTATAATCACATAAACAACTTTAAATCAGAAATGATGTCCAGACCATTTCTACTATTTGAATAGTTTCCCCAAATACCACTACTTTATACTTCTACAGTACTGGAATACTCTTGAGTACATTTTGAGTACTTTACCCCCTTTGCTCAGGTGGAAATATGGAAATCTTAAATACTACAGAACTCCTGTTAGAGAACCATTACAACCATTAGCAAAAAGCTTTAGTGGCTGCATAATTTAGGATGCAATAAAGATCCTACTACACAAAATTGATTATTGCGAACTTTAAGCCATGTCAGAATGTTGTTACCTCATCAAAAACATAACTGGAGTTGTGTTTTGTATCATTCACACATGTCTGAGAAACCTTTTATTATTATGTCTACATCTCCAAAGCTCAAAATGCTCTCTTTCACCTTGAGATGTCAGAAGTTTTCCAGTTAACAGTTACCTTTTAGCTGTTTTCAGGCAATTTTCAGGGCTGAAATCATCCAAACCATTCTAATGAAGGTGTACTGAGTTTAAAAACACAGTGGAGCACTTCCTGTATTACCACATGACATCACAAAATGGAATAGAGAGAAGAACTAAGCCTGAATATGTATGATTGTGTGTTAAACATGTACAGAACTCCAGGTATGTTTGTGACGAGGAAACAACTTTACAGCATAGATCAAAAAAACAGTGTAATATGGGTTCTTTAATAACTTCATATCATTGTACTTCCGTGCTATGTTCATGTAACTATTGCAAACTAATGCAAACCAATTTATAATGTTAAAAGCAACGCATTCGATTTATGTAAAAATACAACTCTAGGTCCTTTTCAATTCAAAGTATCATGCTTACAAGCGTACAACTTTACTTAGACTTGCTTTATCAAAGATTTTAAAAGCATTTCATAGTCAATCTGAGTCAAGCCAAAATCAATGTTGAAGGATTGGCCTGGTTGAATGTAGCCAAAGGGCGCCTGAGGACTGAGCAGTGGATCTCACCAGTGATGAAACAGTTGAATTAAGTTTGAGGTCACACTAATCAGACTGAAGCTTATACTATAGTAATAATATGGGAACAGCAGTAGTAGTAGAAATAGTAGTAGTAGTAGTAGTGTCTTTAGCAGTTCATAGTCTAAAACTCTATGTCAATATGTCAATCATGTATACAAACACATACTTTTATTATTGCTTTTTGTTTTCTTCTTTTTTTTCTGATTCCAATGATTGGGTCTCTTGAGGTCGTCTTTTCATTTAAAGGGCCTGTACCTAATTTTGAACCATGACTGAACCTGTTTCACTTTGAATGCTCTCTGTGTTGATGATGAACCATGACAAAGGAATACCTATCAGGAATAATCACAGGCAGTTGTTTCCATGTGGTTCTAATCCAGCACTGTTTCTGATTGGATACAATGGTCCTGGCACTTGCTTCCTTATGGTTCTCATCCAACAAAATCCTCTGTCTTTTAAATTTAAATTAAATTGTAAAAGGCAAAAACAGCTGTCTCATTCTTTTCCTATTCCTAAACTATCCACACTACTACTACTATCAGTATCATTCTTTTTGTCTTCATGAACTATCAGGACTACTACTACTACTACTACTACTACTACTACTACTACTACTACTACTACTACTACTACTAACTACAACTACAACTACAACTACAACTACAACTACTACTACTACTACTACTACTACTACTACTACTACTACTACTACAACTACTAACTACAACTACAACTACAACTACAACTACTACTACTACTACTACAACTACAACTACAACTACAACTACTACTACTACTACTACTACTATACACTACTTACTACTACTACTAAACTACTACAACTACAACAACTACTACAACTACTACGACTACATACTACCTACAACTACTACTACAACTACATACTACTACTACTACTACTACTACTACTACTACATACTAACTACACTACAACTACTACAACTACTACTACTACTACTACTACTACTACTACTACTAATAACTACTACAACTACAACAACTACAACTACTAAACTACATACTACAAACTACTACTACTACTACTACAACTACTACTATACTAATACTACTACTACTACTAATACTACTACTACTATACTACTACTATACTACTACTACTAACTACAACTACAACTACAACTACAACTACTACTACTACTACTACTACTACTACTACTACTACTACTACTAACTACTAACTACAACTACAACTACAACTACCTACAACTACTACAACTACTACAACTACTACTACTACTACTACTACTACTACTACTACTACTACAACTACAACTACTACTACTACTACAACTTACTACACTACTACTACTACCTACTATGACTACATACTACACTACTACACTGTTCACTATCAGACTACTACTACTACTACTAGTATTACTACTTACTACATACTAACTACAACTATAACTACATACTAACTACAACTGCTACAACTACATAGTACTACAACTACTACTACAACTACTACTACTACTAATTACATACTACAACTACATACTACTACATACTACTACTACTACTACTACTACTAACTACTACTACTACTACTACTACTACTACCTACTACCTACTATTACCTACTACTACAAAATAAATATGGATTTTGTTTTAATCTTTGCACTTAAAAGAAAAGCTGTTTTCATTCTCTGAACTGGTATTGGCTGATATATCAGTTGCAGATGCTTAAAGGCAAAGGCAGATTGGTATTGGGACATAAAAAGCGAGATTGGTGCCTCCCAGGTATTTATTTCATTACCGGACAACTGGTGATGATGTTACTATGTCAAGACATGTTTAGAAGCACACATAGTTAGCTGAACAGAAGACAGTGTGAGTGGACAGATGTGACACATGTGAATGGGATCTCCTTCACCTCGGCTCTGCTGCCTGCTGATGACCCCGCCCAGAGTCCACCTCCGGTCCAGCCTCTTCAGATGGGCCTTGTGCCTCTTTGGGACTGATGCATGTGGACAGCAGACGTAAACAAACACAGCATGGAAGACACACACACATGTTATAGACGCACAACACAACCAATGATGGGAAGAACACTTTGAACATGTATTTAGTTACAGACAGTATTAGGAAGTAACTGAATACATGTACCGAGAAGAGATAATTGGAATACAAATTTTGAGTAAAATAACTTTTTAATTAGGTGGTATTCAGATTACAGTTAGTTTTCTAAAATCATAGGAATACATTACAGTATTTGATCATGTAATTTCATTTTTACACTGCACATAATCAGTGAGGAAAAAACAAACAAACCCACAGCTATTTTTGTGATTGAAAGTGTGATTTTTAAATCTCCAATGAGTGAGAGGAAATGTGTAACAAATGGTGAAACAAATATAAAGCTATTTTAATCCTCTGTTGCGTTTGACACTATAATTTAAAATGCATCTTGATGTAAAAGTATTCTTAGTATTTCATATACAGTACATCATTTTAAAGCAGGTATTTAGTATTCTGTAACATACAATTAACATACATTTAAATACATTTTCAAGGTATTCTTCCCATCACTGGTCACAGAATACTGAATACCTTCATTAAAATATATTTTGTTAAGTATTATATTACACGGGCCAATCAGAGTACTGTATTATTCTGAATACTTAGAATACTTTTAGTTTTACATCACGTTGCATATAAAGATAGTACTATCTTTACTCTACAGATACAGTGTAAAGATGAAAGATAATATTAATAACAGCTTTATATTTGTTTCACTGTTTTTAAGATCAGTCACTATGAGAGCAGTGTTTTCTATTTCTCTCACTGATTTTGTGCAGTTTGAAGCCTAAATTACATAATCAAATACCAAAATGTAATCCTTTGATTTTAGAAACTAACTATATATCCTGATACCACCAAATGAAAAAGTACCTGTACCAGAAAACCAGTTACTCAAAATCAGTATTTGCTTACAGTATACTGTACGTCTTCTCAGTACAGGTATTCAGTAACTTCCCAACACTGAACACAACACACATGGATCCAAAATGGCGTCCGTGTGATGGTTAGCCACACAGATGCACATGAGATTAGAGGAACAACATGGAGGATGGCGGGAAAGGGAGAGGATGGGTGAACAGGTGCATGGGTGAATGGAGGTTATAGAGGAAGTGTTAAAGACGGTCGGTGTGGGTTTTAATTAGGAAGCAGTTTGGCTTGGTTTTCTCATCCTACAGCATCTGGCACACACATTGCGTCTGCAGGGATGCCACTCAATTAAAAGAGCAGATGGGAAGATTGCTAAGTTAGAAGGAGGACGATTTTTGTCTTATTTCGGAGGTAAGATTTACTGTGAACATAAATATAACTCAGAAGATTCAAATGTAGATGTAGGAAAGTTGCCCGTATACGCAAGCTTTTGGGTGTAATTAAAAAGTCCATAATTACGCTGTTTTCTGATCTATGTTAGATATCATGTAATGTTGTTTCCTCATTAAAAACATACCTGGAGCTTTGTTTTGTTTCACTTACACATATATTAATACACAAATCCTGCATATTTAGGCGAGTTCTTCTCTCTGACAGAATACACTCTCTTCCACCTGTGGAATAACATGTGGTAATAAAAAGTAAAAAATTGAAAAGTACTCCAGGTATGTTTTGAGGAGGTAACAACAGTCTAATATGGGTTAAAGATGACTATTTTACATAATATCTTTTAAATATGTTAAATTAATGCATATATTTTAAATAATTAATCTTGAAATATAAATTGTTTGCTTTGGTTTAACATAAAATTATGAATTAAAGAAAAAACATAAAATTGTGGGGTTTTTTTTGTCTATTGTTTTGGAGCAGCAGTGATAAAACGCATTGTACATGTACTGGAGTGACTATCCAATACTTTTAAAGGATATTTTGCCAATGTGGAAACAAACAACTTTGCAAATTGTTTTAATTCTTGGTATTTAATATATCTAGTGTACTTTTACTTCTTGATTTTTTCAAATTCTAAGTCTAAATGGGAGTGACCTGACATCACATTAGTGCACTATAGGCCAACCATAAGACTAAACTTTAAAGATGCACCGTGTAACTTATCTGCTGGAGAGTCTGTCACCTGCTTGGCTCCATGTAGATGTGCCTAGAATGATCCAGAGTATGGCTATAAATTTATGAATCTCCATGGAGACTTGCAGGACAACTTACACCACTCACAGTAAGAAGTTTTTATGTTTTTTAAGATATTTTTGAGCTATAAATAGCACCTGTAATTGAACAAAGGCAAGATAGATTAGTTTAATACCCTACTGAGGACAATTAAACCAAAGCATTAACATCTCTATCAAGACCCCCTCCAGAAAAGTTACATAGTGCACCTTTAAAGGTCAAATTTGATTAAATGACTCAAGCCCAACACCTTTGCCTGCACTCTCCATACAGTTATGTGAGATGTTTTATGGATCTATCTGCCTTCAAGCCTAAACATCAGATTTATTGTTCTATCAAATAAAAACTAAACTAGGCGGGGGCCCCATGCTTACTCTGCAGTATGGAGAAAGGGTTTACATTTGCAGTTTTCAGCAATTTCCTATCTTTTGGGGTGAAGCATCATTAAATATGAAGGCATCGAGGGGTGAGGACCACAAGACTCACAAGAAGATGCTTTATGATTTTTATGCCATTTTCGCGACTGGCTACACACATAAGGGCTAATTACACTGACGTATTCTGTTTTCCTCTCAAATTGACAGTGACAGTAAACCTCGCTATCTCAAACAGTTGATAGACGGGCCTGGGTGCACTTGGAAATCCCTGGTGAAATGATGTATTGTGTGCAAAAAAGTGGTTTCAACAAATTGTGAAACTGTAGCTATTCTGAAGTCATAAGATATACAAGGCCAATGGGAGTTGCTATTGTTGCAGCTAGCGTAAAATGTACAGTAAAAGATATGCTGGCCACACTGCTGGAAAATTTCAGTGTTTGTTTGGAATGGGGTTATCATTATTTTCGTACCCGGACTTGGTTGGGTTTTTCCATAATGCAATGCAGACACTTTAAAACAATAGAATCTTATGAGGAGTTTAAAGAGGGGATATTTAACTTCTATTGGGTATTAACTGCTAACACATAACATATTTACATCACTGTGTTACATTTTATTGTTTTGAAAATGCTATATTAGCCGAAAGCAACGTATTAACATGTTCTGTAAGTTTCAAGTCACTCCCTCTTCAGAGCACTAATAATAACACAATCGGTACCGGTAATGAAATGACTGCATCGGGTTTGTGAAGTTGTTGTGTACAGTTTTGTATCATGCTTTTGTATATTTATGGAGAATTGTGGTATGATAACATGGATGGCATAGGCTTGTGGGCTAAGCATTGGACAGAATCTTAAAAGTAACTGTAAGGTAGGTCTGAATAGGGTCCCAGAGAGATCCCTAAATTACTGAAACGTGTGGATGACCTCCAAAACCTCAACATGAGAGAACAACATTATATATGTATTTAGCATTATACTCCCTCTTTAAAGTATTTTTCAATTATAGTTTGGCTAAGGCTAAGACAGAATCAATAATATCTGATATATTGATTTACATTGACAAGTGTTTCAATACACTTGGCGTATATGTTCATAGTTGACAAGCAAAGGAATGAGTGTTTTCTATCAAGTTTTGGAAAAAGCTGAAATATGAACAATATGTAGTTTATTCTTTATTCAATCTTATTTTGGCAACTACAGACCTCTGGCAGGCTGCATCTGTCAACGATACTCAATTTTCACATTACTCTATGCATTGTTGTTGGGGTGGTCTTATGAGCTGAAGTTCTTTTCTTATTAACTTTTCTTTCAGCAAACTAAGCATAATCTGACATATTTTTGGTTCTTTACTGACAGTAAAATTATGCAAAAATTCAGTATTACATCATCATCCAATCATTTTCATGTGTCTACTCCTGTTATATCATCTCGGTAACCCTGATCCAGAACCACCGCCTATATTTTGAAATTTTAAAAGAAGTGATCCCATGCTTGGCTATTGCTTATGTCCAAATATGTGTTATCCGAAAAGTATTGATGATGACATCCTTTTGCAAATTTTTTGGCTTTCATGTTGACACGCCATGCTATCCTAAAATCTGGTGTTTTTCTTATAGATTTCTGGATTCTGTTCTGACTGGTGGCCTTCAAAATCTACTGTACGACTACTGTACTTGCCACTGTTGATACTTTGCAGTGACATCACGCTGGGGGTGTTCTACATGTATCTCTATTGGTGGAATATTCAACAGTTACTACGTTGACACAATGCTTATATTAGCAAAAACTGCCAAAAATGTTTTAAGACTGTTTGGGAAGTAAAAAAAAAAAAAAAAAGATTTAAACACATTTTCAGGAACCTGGGATCAATTCAAGCATTCGTGGAGTTGGATTTTCAACAAAAAAGGACATTTTTTGTGTGAGAAATTTGTTTAACAGCACAAATCATCTCACCTGTTGTAGTTCCAACCAAACCAGCTCTTTCTTTCTGTTCATTATTATTATTATTATTATGATTGTGTTAAACTAAAGCTCCGATTAAGTCTTCTAACAGAGCAGTGCTTTCAGTTAGCATCACACCCCCAGAGATATTTGATGACATCAGCTGCACAGTATCAATAACCAAGCCTTCTATGATAGCACCACACAAAACTGCAAGTCAAATATTCCTTTAATTAACAACTCGTATAAATTAATGATGAGTTAGCGAAAATGCATATATTTTATTCCCTTCTGGCTGGTCAGTCACACACGGTTCTTTCATGGGCGAATAGTATATCGAAGTCTTTTACGGTGCATTAGTATACAGAATTTACAGTTTGCAGTGGTTTCGTGGTCTAGCGCTCCTCCCCTATGTTTACCAAGGCCTGAATCTACACTAAAGCCAACTTGTTCTGACCGGCTCGGGGTAGAAAAGTAGAGCTCAACGTGAATTTGTTCCATTTTGTCACAGATTAGCGCTGCACTAGACCGGAGCGTAGGGCTGTGTCTGTGTGGTTGTCTTGTCTGCAGTGGGTGGATGGGGGGGTAGGTGCGTCGGTGGGTAGGTGGGTGTGGATCTAATATAAGGGGGATTTGAAAGGGGTTTACCTTCTCCAGATTTCGAAGCACCCAGCTCCAGGTCATCACGAGTGCCGCTGTGGGAGTTCAGATAGGTGGCGGGGACCCAGCCCTGCTCCTCTGCGGTGCTCACGAACCACCAACCTGCACACAAGTTAGGTTTACTGTTAAAACAAATATATATATAAAGGAAAAAAGCAAAGTTGGGCCAGACCTTGCTTTAAAATTTTATTAAGATGCTTTATGTTTGTTTTGCCATATCGGTGGAGGGTCTACCCCAAAGTAACACGTTGTTCAAGGTACTTTCGGGCAAAAAAAAATAAAAGACACATACACAATTAAATACACACAAGGCATTAACTTTAATACCATACTGTGGAACATTTCAGACAAAGGAATATCATGGACATAGACACAAGCAGGCGATGTACCCACGATGAACCATCAGGGCTTAAAGTCTGTTCAGTTCAGTAATTAAGCACATAAGTACTGCACTGTTGTGTAATAAAGATCAAAACACAATCATGTGATTTTGAAATCCTCTTCAGTTCAAAAATCTGTTTGGAAGACACAACTCGAGACATGGAATTAATCGTCACAAGTCACACAAAGCAAGCACAGCGGAGGATGGCGAGACTCAGCAAACTCCCTATAAGACTGAAAATCAAACCAATCTTTCCATCTGATATTATTTCTGCGATACAATCCAAACCCAAATATGTATAAGGGGCCTTGAGGAAGAGCAAAGTGCAGACTAAAGCTGTTTCATTATAGAGGAGGATGCCGAGGATACAGTTAAACATATGCAGACGATACGCCGTGGCAACCCATGAAAGAAAACACCCATATACGGAAAGCCCCATGAAAACTCTATAAGCTTGATGCTGCTTATATATTTACTTGTCACACCACATCTAAATCTCGTTTAAATTACACTACAGATTGACAGCCTATTGCCTGTATCGCTGAATATGATTTCTCTGTTTGTAATTCGACACCTCTTTTCATCTCACTGTGATGAAACAAATAAACAAGAGGATATAAACAACGTAATTGTGCTGACTCAGTGATTTTGGCTTGACTGTGGGAGCCAGGATCTAAAGTGGAAACACTAGCTGGAGGTCTGTGCAAATGTGCTTTCCATAAAAATCACTATTGACTTCAGCCGAGTACAGAAAATATGATGAACTGTCACTGGCCAAACTTTCGTATTCGCAATGATACAGATGATTTCAGTAGGTTTTTTCGGGCATGACGGCAGTGCTCCAAGGTTTATGACAAAAGCCTAGATGAAAATCTTGCCATGCTTGAAATAACAAAATAAGTAAGTGAAAAAGACTTTCTATAAGTTAAAGGTCTGGTGTTACGCTGAATCTACTTTTTGAGTCATCCACAAATGTTCTTCTATGTTTTTAAAGCCCCTCTGTGTAACTTTTTAGCTAAAAATAGACTAAATGTTTATGTTTATTCCACTGAAAACTAAAACAGAAAAACACGTCCTTACTTGTCCTTACTCTGAGCTTGCATGTACACAAAACTGACTCCAGCTTGTTTAGAAGGAAATGTTGTATGATGTTCCTTTGACTAGAAAAAGTAAACATTTACCTCCGTGTAGAATATTTCTGTGGAACCATGCAGGTGACGTGCAACCTTCAGAAAGTTACACAGTGCTTTGAATTCCATACACAATCTGTGTGCCCTCTGCTGGTAACTGTTGGCTCTTCTGCATTTAAAATCCATCACTGTGTTGCCTTTAGTTGTTTCCATACACATCATTAAATGTTACGCAATGAAAAATACCAGTGTTATGTTGCCTGGAGAGATAGTAAAAGCCTGAATATGCTTAATATAGGAGTCTATAGGAGTTTTAATATGAACTACTTAGCAAGAAACCCCATTGACAAAGCTGGCAGGAGACTGGGTTTACACATCTTATTTGTTGTGGTAACAGAAATACAATATGGCCGACAGCTGTAGGGACAGGCCATAAAGAAGCTGTGACTGTTCCATCGCACTTTCACACATGGACCGCAGAGTTTACATGTGTCTACTGTACTGTATTTACTACAACACCAAAAAGAATAAAAAATAAATCCACTGCACAATATAAGAAGTATAGAAGTAAAAAGGACAGAATGGCAAGCTTTATTTTGGCATGTGATTCCAATTACTGGTGTCCATATTAGTACTGTGTTACTACTTGTACTAGTACTCCTACTTCTACTACAATATCTACTGTCACAGGACACTACTGCTGCTTCTACAGCTTACTACTTAGTTTGGACACTACAATTTCAGCTTCAAATGTCATTGCTACTACTTCAATTATTACTTAAACAACTTCTACTATACATTAGCTGCAACAATTTCATTTGTTAAGTCATTAATTAAAAGATCCTATGTCATGCAAAATTGACTCTTGTGAACTTTAAGTCATGTTATAATGTTAACATACCTGGAATTGTGATTTTTGTGTGTGTGTTTTTTTTTTTGTTTTTTATTCACACATGTTTGAGTAAACCCTTTATTATTAGTCTGTTTACATCTTCAAAGCTTAAAATGTGCTGTTTACCTTGTGATGTCATGAAGCTGTAGTTTTCCAGTTAACAGTTACCCTTCGCTCACTAGAGATTGGCAACTGCAGGGCTGAAACTACGTCTCCAGTGAAGGTGAATGGAGTTTAAAAACACAGTGGAGCACTTCCTGAAATACTACATGACATCACAAGGTGGAACAGAGTGTTTTCTATTTGAGAGAAAAACTCAGCCAAACAACAACAAATCACAACTCCAATGTGTTTCTGATGAGGAAACAACATTATAAAATAGATCAGAAAATAGTGTAATACGGGCCCTTTAATGAAAGTACAATTAATTTATTTGCATGATAAATAGTCACTTAACATACTTTCAATATTCACTAACCTGATATGAAAAATATATAATATATATAAAGATATACACCAATATGTCCTCTGTACTTTTTGCTTTGCTCTTTGTTAGTAATCTATCCTCAGATGACCATCAGAGCACGCGCCCTTATTCATCTCTCGTCTCATCGCTCTAACACACATAAGGGGAGCTGTTAGGTCAAGCCATAATTCCTCCCATCTAACTTATTGATCTGTTCTCCAACATGGCCGCGGGCAGTAATACCACTCCCCCGTGTCAGCTGCAGTCATATTTACCACAGTAAATGCTAATGAAGGCTGCTGATGTAAGATTTTGATAGCTGGGGAATGTTGCTTGGACCAATGCCTATCTGTCCACTATATGTAATTGTATTGGACAGGAAGTGCTGACTGGCTCTGTGCATTAACAGAGATGTCAATAGCTAGTGTAAATATAAGATGTGTTTAACTGAGTGATTTACCTCCCTACACTGTACTAAACAAGTGTATTGATATATAGACTACTAGTATTGCTGACTGTCAAAGCACTTAAATAGATTTTATGGTGGCTTTAATGTCTAATGGAGATGAGGGGAAGTAAGAAGTACAGATTTGTCACTGTAATACGGAAAGTTCAAGGGCCTAGTCAAATGAGTATTCAACTTGAGTACCGTATTTTTTGGACAATAAATCACCCTTTTTTTCATGGTTTAGGTGGTCCTGCGACTTATACTCCGGTGTGACTTATATATTAAAATTTTCACACTGACTGCCGCGAGAGGGCGCTCTAGGCTTGTGTGTCAGTATCTAGGTACTACTATTACTCCTGTACCACGCTCACTTTGCTCTACTGTGCATGTCTCCTGTAGAAAAAGCTGCTGTCTTGCTGCAAATAGCAAAATATGCAGCCGAAAAGGGTAATCGAGCAGCAGAAAGAAAGTTTGGAGTGAGCGAGAAACTTGTGAGGGACTGGCGGAAAGCAAGGATAAACAACACAGCTTCACGGTGTGCCATGTAACTTTCCTGGAAGTCACTGGATGAATCGACAAAGCCTGAACTTCAATGACAACCGTAACCATCCTGTCGGGATTCAGAAAGGCCGGAATAATTCTAACTGGAACTGATTCTGAGTCTGACGACAGCTACGCAGGAGAGGAAGCGGTCATGGGTCTATGGTTCATCTCCGGAGGTCACGGAGTTGCTCAGAAGTGACACAGAGGATGAAGAATTCAATGGATTAGTGATTTGGAGTGAAATCGTGAGTTTGGTAAACTTATGTTCTGTTGTTTATGCTATAATTATCTGAATAACTGTTCATATGTTACGTTAACATATTAATGCCTATTCAGCCTGTTGTTGTCTGTTCTGCCTTTCAAGATGAAATATCAGTTCCTGGTCTCTGATTTTACAAAATAAATTTCCTCAAAAAGTGCAATATATAGTCTACTGCAACATATATATGTTTTTTTCTTCTTCATTGAGCATTTTTTGCTCATTTTTATGTTTTGTTTGAAAATACCATGTACTCAGTGGTGAAAATTGGCTCTTGCTTTCCATTGGGGAGTACAGTACAGTATATTGTCACTTTCTATAATCTAGAAGGAACCGATTAAACATCTTTTTAAACGAATCTAGTGAAAACAGTGTTCATAATAAAAGAAGAATAAAAGAAGGCCTGCCAGTTGCCTGTATCCGTGGTGATATTATTGAGAAAGCAGATGATGCCACCAGGACAAGTCACAAGTCAGATCTGTGGAGAGTCAGCCCTGCTCGCAGTGAGAAGATTTTGAGTGATAATCAACAATAAATCATATGTCTCTAGTAACAAAACAAACTTTTTCTATAGCTGTTTTTATTAACTACTTTTAATACTTTCCTGGATTACTCCTGCGAGTGGTACTATTTCAAATGTAGTTGGTACTGCAAGCTCGGTTAGTTATTATTATTTAACAATTTTCCAAGCAAAGACAAAAAATTCTTATACAGTCCTATCTGCCAAATATATACAATTCGCCCTTTCCATCTTTCGAGCTTTCCTCCTAAAATACATGATCACCAAAATAGAAACATTAGCTCACTTACAGCGTATAAATAATGGTACAAGTTCATCCTTAAGTCAACTGTCAAAACTGTGAGAAATTCAATATTTGTTGCTATCATTTCCAAGATGAGAAAATGACAGTCTTGCTCCCAGTGCTCAAAAGCAAATAGAAGTCCAGAGTACTCTAATTTGTTTGGTGGGCACACATTGAGA